GATCAAGCAGAGAGACTCTGAGAAGACAATTACCTGAGTAAAATGAGGGTCCTTGTAGTTTTTCTTTTGTCCTCAATAAACCACTTTATATGTCTGTAATAATTACAAAAGAGCAGCTGTTCAAGAATTCATCCATCCTTCAGTTTTTGGCTGCTCATGATGGGACAGCCCCCAATTTCCAACTATTCTGTTCGCACCACGGCCCGTCAGTGTCATGCACTATGCCCCTCTAGTCAATGATTGTATTTCCACAGCGAGCGCTGCGGTACGTCTTTGGAGCGTGCCAGCAGCGTCACTACACTCTGCTTCGTTTCAAATACGCTCAGAGTCTATTTTTGACGGAGTACATTGCAAGCACGAGTCGAGCTGGACAGAATAGATTAACTCCAACAGGAAGTCAGGCCCATACTACTTGCCCACCACTGATGGACCGCGGCGCTTAAATAGTATGTGGAAATTGGTGTTAAGAAAGGTTAGCAACTTGTTAGCAAGAATCTCCAGCTGCACCAGAAGATTTCACCATGTTCCAGAATGGGATATGTTATCCCTTCATTTCTTCTTTCTCTGCATAGAAAGGTGTTTGCACTCAAAAGAAACCCTCATGAAAGGCTGAACAACCTGAACCTGCTACATGTAAAATAAGCAACAGACACCATCACATCGTCTGCAGAAGGCCGAAGCAGTATCCGTAGGTTGCAGTATTTGACCTGCTGGTTCTCTCTTTCAATTCTTAAATTATGGCTGCTTGGTCAGTGACCCAGCTCTGCAGAATAAGAAGCTTGAGATTCTGAGAACTCTCTCTTGAACCCCTTACAAGTGTTACAAAATGCTGCTGCTGCATCGTCATGACTTTGCACGGGTTTCAGTATAAACTCAGAATCTACTCTTGGATTCAGAGGACTGCTGTGATTGTGTTTATTGGTTTGCATATTCAGGAAACAACTTAGAGATCTGCCAAAATCTTATAACTCCAGTAGGACTCTCAGATCCTCGGATCAGGGTTCACTGGAGGTTCCTCGTCCCAGACGCCAAACTAAAGGAGACTGAGCTTCTGAGGTCGTAGCTCCTAAACTTTAGGGTCATCTCCAACAAGAACAGAGAGCGGTGGACAATGTGGATGTTTTGAAAAAAGCAGCGAGAGCCATCCGTTTTAGATGTTCATGTAGGAATCAACGTGTTCCCTTCTCGATCTCATTTCCTCTTTCCCTTTCTTAACTATTTTTCTTTCTTTGTTGGTCTTTGTAAGTCTCTAAGTTTTCCATTCCCCTTTATCTCACAGTTTCTTTGTCCTCTCTTTAATCTTCTATCTCCCACCTGTCTCTCTCTCTATACAACCTCTCCTCCTCTTCTTTTTTCTCTGTCGACCTCCTCACACTTTTTTTTCTGACCAACTTATCCCATCCCTCTGCATCCTCTGCCCTCCTTCTCTTTCTCTGCAGCCTCTCTGTGGCTTTCCATGTATTTTGGAAGAAAAGCTTTTTAGCAAATATTTGTCCGACTGAGTCTGTAGAGAACCTCTGAGTCAATATCGGCCCAGCCAGGCTCGACCCGTCAGAGAGAGACGGAGAGAGAGAGGAGGGGATCAGTGCATAAAAACCAGCAGTGCAGAAACAATAGAGACTTAGGATTCTCTCTCTCTCTCTCTCTTTTCTGTACCAAAATAAACTCTCAGAGAAAAGAGTTTTGCTTTCTGAAGCTGACCGAACAGAAATCCTTCACTGATAAAAACCGATGGGTTAGATATAAACTGTCCAGCAGCATTTACACTGTTGCTATCAGCCAAGTATCTTCGACATACTTTGATAAAAACAGAAGTTGTATTAAGCATTGTGTCTGTAAACCTTTCTGTGTTCTAACCTCTCTCCATTTTTCAAAAGCTTCTCCAATATTGATCCTAGTTTGAGCACGTTTCTGCTCGTGGAGCTTATTAGAAACATGCAGAGGCTTTTTAGGTCAGGAACAATCACTTCTATCTGAACCACTTCTCTTGCCCACTTCCATCGCTGCAACACCTGTTGACCTGATAACTGCTCTCAAACCGAGGGGCGTCCAAAACGGATGTGTGGAGGTGCCTTAAAACTGCATACCTTGTCTGGTCCAAACAAATCCAGAGCATTCAGGACCAGAATCTAAAGTTAGAAGGAGGACATACTGGCTGCTGCATTGTTGTCAGAGAAGTCAGCACTTCAACATAGCATATTTCTTTAATGTCTGATCATATAGTAAGGTCACTTTATCATTTCACTCACTACACATCTCACTGATTGGACCTTTAATGTACCCCTTAGTGTCTTGAACCTATTTAAGGCCCCCCTTTGAGCATCAGTTTCACCTTTTTGCTTCCGTTTAAAGAAACGTTTTGGGCCTTTTTCAGCCTTTTCTTTCTTTGCTTTGTACACAAAGCTAATCCAGTTTGTTTGAGTGTACCACACCATGGTGCGGGTATAAAATAAAATGGTGACTGTTCCTATTAAATGGGACTCGAACTTCTTTTCCTCGGAGGAAAGTTGTTAGTTCTTTAACCAATCGGACGACAGATAACAACGTCACGTGCAGACTGTCACTCTGTGTCCCACATGCCAGATAACCAAGCAGCTGCTTTAAACTCAGATGAATCCAGATGAATCCAGATGAAAATCCGCTTCATGTTTTAGTGGAAAAAAGAGCATATTTCTTGGTCTTCATATTAACCTTTGTGTCGTTGAATGTCACTTTTTTACAGCAGCTTTTATAGAGTCACAGTCGTCGTTCTCTGACATGCAGAATTTTTGTTCCGGCTTCAATCTGGCTTCATTTCTCTTCCCATGCCCCCCCACGCTGTCGGCTGCGGTTATTTGGCACAGAGCGAGTATCACTCAGTTGTTTTGTTGTTGTTTAGAGCCTCCTCCTTCAACATAATACACACCTCCTGTTTGGAATAAATTTATCTGCACCCTCACACACAAACACACACCAGGCTTGTCCTCTTGATCCTGTCTGCTCTACTCTGCATCCCCATCTCCTGTTTAGACAACCGGGCGAGCCGCAAATATGCTAAACTGAAGAGAGCGAGAAAAAGGGGAGATGAAAGACAGAGGAGGAAGTGTGTGAGGCAGAGGCGTGTGTGTGTGTGTGTGTGTGAGAGAGAGAGAGAGAGAGAGTTAGAGAATCCCATTTCATTGTAATAGTGTTTAATATTTATTGGAAAAATGTAAAGAAAATGTAAAGGAAGTGCTTTTCAGCGAGCGGGCGGGATTAGCATAAATAGTTTGGGGCTTGGACGTGTTTGGTTCCTGCCGCAGAGGGGTAAGGCTGTCCCCCCCGTTCTCAGTGACACACACACACACACACACACACACACACACACACACACACACACACACACACACACACACACACACACACACACACACACACACATGCATATGTTTGCAGACACATCTCCTTCCACTCGTGCACACGCCTGCATGAGTAAACATGCAAACACACACACACTCGCTGACCTTTGCGTGTGGGAGCTCATCAGCATATAGTGATTTATAATAGGCTCTGCCAATCCTTGTGTTTCTTTCTCCCTCACATTTTTGCATCCATTAGACGGGAGCGGAGAGCGAGGGATATTGGCTGTTGTCATTTATTTGACGCCCTGTTACTGCTGATCAAGGATCTGTGTGCTGAATTAGACTTTATGCTAATAAACTGTTATGAACGACCTGAATTTAGCCGCACTGAACTGTGGAGAATTGGAAACATCAAGTTGTTTTTTCAGCTTTTAAAGGCTAGTTCAGGGTTTTTGCAACTTCAACCTGATTGTTTTAGTTTTGATCGTCAGTCAAGTTTGCTCCTGAAATCAAAGACTAACTCCAGTTTTTAAAACCTCATTTGACCTATTTTTTTAATACACATTTTAGGGTCTAAAGAACGAGAACTTGTCATTAAACTGTACGAGCTGCAGTCTACATTTTTGAGTTTGTAATCCATCCTCTGTCAGCTCCTCGTGGTGATGCTCTTCACATTGGGATAATCATTTCAAAGTTGAACTCTGTCTTTTAGACTGCTTCAGCCTGCAGCAGGTAAACCGGCTGTAACGTCTGCAACACAATCCTTGATGGATCAAAGTATGTCCACTCAAAGCTGTTTGTTTTTGTACCTGACAGGCTCAGGTTGTTTTTCTAAGTGTGTGACATCATTACAGAAAGGATCCCTGCAGAGAGAGACCTTTAAGTTTAAAGATGATTTAATAAAACCGTTAACAGCTGTTCCATCCCTCTCTACAAACACTCCAGAGTCCACTGACACAATCAGCAGATAGCAGAAGTTCCTGGTCTTCCACTCCTCCATCAGTTTGTTAAATTTTGTTATTTCTGGACTCTTTGATAAATAAAACAAACCATCTGAGTTGGATTGCAAATATGAAAAGTTTTCAATGTTTAGTAAAGTAAAGACGTTGAGGTAGGTCTGTTCTCTGCCGCTTCAAGCTGCGAGTTAGTAAAAGAGGTGTTACAGAGGAGAGACAGGATCAGCTGAGCCAGCGGGGGAGTGCAGCGCTGTGTGTGTGTGTGAGTGTGTGTGTGTGTGTGTGTGTGACTCCCGCTGTGATGTTTTTCAATTTGAACATACAACGATGTAACAAGCTTAGTTACAACACTTTTGAAAGTCTGAAACGAGCTTCTGATTCTGGAGGTTTCTTTATACACCATCTGTTTGTCAGACATCTTCAATTATTTTATTAATGATGCCACCATGTTTACAAAACACCACTTAACTACTTAACAGATGAACCTTTAGCCTCTAGCTCCTCCTATTTTTGACAGGATCCAATCATTCTGTTTGAGGTTGAGAAGGTATTTAATGTGGAAAAATGTAAAAACACACATCAGTGCCATCAGGGATTAGTGCAGAGCAATGACAGCAACAGCCAATAGAAGACATTTGGAGTTGACTTATGGGAGTTATAATATTTCCTGCCTTTATTCAACCTGTTTTCACTCTTCTCTCTTCTCTCATGTGTCACCCCACAGTCTCTGTGCTCGGAGGTGCAAACCCGGCGTCGAGGAGTCTCCTCTGTTCTGAAACTCTGTCAGAAGCTGCTGCAGCAGAGCCAGGTGGGTAAAAAAAAAAAACACATCACAAGTTCAACCACAAAACCAAAGACTTTCAACTCCGCTTAAGCGTTGCCAACAATGACTTTTGCGCTCAGCTGAACGTCAGCCTTTCAACTCTGAGCATTTGACCCTCCTTCTTAATCCAAAAGGGAACTTGCAATTTCACAAATGTAAAATGTGATGCTTGTTGACGTTGAATCAGTAATTTAGCTCTTGGGAAACCCTTCAAAATCTGCGACAAATCCCTGAGAATCAGCTTAACCTTGAGAGGAATTATTCTGCTTAAATTGTACAGCCTGAAAACATTTAAATGAATTTAATTTAATCATGTGATTAGCATGATAATGGCTTTTATAATTCTGACAATGCTGTCTCTACAATCCCCCACCTCTGGGACAGTCGGGCCCCATGGCGGAGGTGGGCCCAGAGGCGGAGCAGCACCGGGAGGCCCTGCAGCTGCTGTCGATCAACCTGGAGAGGAGGTGGGAGGCGATCGTGATGCAGGCGCTGCAGTGGCAGAACAGACTGAAGAGGGAGCTGGGAGAGCAGCAGGTTAGAGCGCTCTGACATTTACACTCTCCATCCTTCACTCCACCCTGCAGGCAGTCAGCTGACGCGCTGTCACACTCAGTGAGCATGTCAGGGTTTGATTCGATGCTAAGATGCAGCGTGAAAGACAGATGGTGCTGTGATTGAAGCTTAGCTGTGGAACAACCTTTACAAGTGAGACAGAGTGATAATGTTTGTGAAATCAGCAGCGACTGTACAACAAAGCACAAACTTCAGTATGCGCTCAAGTCACATAACATATCCAACACACAGTTATACCTACACTTTTAACAGTCAACACGTGGTTAATGTTCTGAAACGGCTGCAAGGTGGTGAGGACTAGACAAAAAAAAAAAGGGTAGGTAAGGGTTTGGAAACAAGTTTGTGGAATCTGTTCAAAAACATGCTATAATTAACTTTAGCTAGTTAAAGTTGTTTTCTACTATCCAACAACAATTATCTGACTTAATCACATTTTCAGAATATCTTTCAGTCTGTTGATTTAGGCGCCCCCTTGTGGACGAAGTATGTCACGTGAAGTCCCCTTTAAAGCTTTGGTTGTCCAGGTTTAGTAATCCTCTAAGAAACATGCAGCAGTCAGTATGTCCTCCTTCTAACTTTAGATTCTGGTCCTGAATGCTCTGGATTTATTTGGATCAGAGAAGGTAGGCGGTTTTAAGGCACCCCCAACACGGCCGTTTTGGACGCCCTCAGTTTACCAGATATGAGACCAGTTATCAGGTCAAATCAACAGGTGTTGCAGCGATGGAAGCGGGCAAGAGAAGTGGTTCAGATAGAAGTGATTGCACCCGACCTAAAAAGCCTCTGCATGTTTCTAATAAGCTCCATGAGCAGAAACGTGCTCAAACTAGGATCAATATTGGAGATGCTTTTGAAAAATGGAGAGAGGTTAGAACACAGAAAGGTTTACAGACCGATGCAGAGCTGGATAAACACTGAAGCTTCAGCGTCCACCACATGGCAACCTGTGTGAGCATCCACTCTAGAGAGGAGGGGGCGGGGGGAGACAGCTCTCTACAATGTTTAGAATATGGACTGCAGTACCCATTTTAAACACTAGGTGTCAGAGTTACATATTGCTCCTTTAAAGTCTGTAAAGTGACCATGTTAATCCGATCCAATCCTGTTTTTCAGGGATTAAAAATAGCTGGATTATGTAAAATATTGTTTTACCAAATCCAGACTAACCGGGCCCTGGTATGCTGTTTTTGTTTTATTGCATTTCCAGGGGGGCTGGATTGGCTGCCATTAACTATTCTGACACTTTAACTCCATCAGAGCGAAACTCTCCGTCTCTGTTTAGACTTTTTAAGCCTTCAGAGGCCGAAGCTGCACATGTCGACTACACTCTGCATGAAGCAGCCAGTAGATACAAACTGGTCTGTTAGTCCTCCAGTGTGATCAGTGTCACAGAATCTGAAATGTTTTCTCTGCCACCTCCTCCGCGAACAAAAGGAAGTGGGCAAATGAGATTTTAACACTTTGACAGTTTGCATATCAGTACACAACCACGCGTGTCTGCCGCCACGTCGGCGCGTCGCCTAAAGGTTCGTCTTATTAGAAATCATCGTCTCAGACCAAACCGACTCGCTGATCAGTGATGGTTTAACGCTGCAGGATGACAGCTCAGCACATGTGCAGACTGCTTGGCGGGTGTGAAGCACCGAGCATTGTGGGTATTAAGAGGAATATTGTTCAGGAGGGTGCCGTCCAGAGACAATCCGCCCGGGCCAAACGAGGCACACTGGATAGAGAGAGAGAGAGAGAGCTGAGTGCTTTCTGAGAGCTGCAGCGGGATGGAGCCTTTATGGATTTCTAATAGTGATGAATATTGTTTTATACAGACTGAAGGAGAGATGCATTTGAATATAAGCTGGAGCTTTTTCAGAGACTCACACAAACAGTAACACTTAGGTTAGCATAAAAAGCTGTTAAGACACACACACACACACACACACACACACACACACACACACACACACACACACAACCACTGACTCTGACGTGAATACATATATTGTGCTGAATAAAAGCATGCACATAGAAATGAAGTGTGCTGTGTGCTTTTGATAGCTCACAGTCACACTCCGTGGCAATTTATTGATTGTGCACAATTAATTGATGGATAGTGATGTGTTAAGAGCTCAGAAAGAGAGGTGAGGGGAGGGGGTGAGAGAGGGGGAGGGGAGGGGTTTGAGAGGAAGGAGAAAGGTATATACTAAGTACCTGGCTGTATTAAACAGAACAGAGGAGGATTAAATATGGAACTCGTGTCCCACCCACACAACATTCAATCTAGGCCACTCCTCCTGGGCTCATCGCCCACAGAAGCTCTCACTCCCTGCAGGACGTAGTGTGTACGTTTACTGCTTGTACCTACTGAAAGCTAACGCACGTTAGCACAAGCTAACAGCTGCTGTTTGTCACCTGCCTGTCCAACAGAAAGCAGACCAACTCCACGTCCACGGGTAAAAGACAACACAAGGTTCACCCTCGTTTTAGAACGAGCTTTATCCGCTTGTCGTTTCTCCTCACTGTGATTATATTTTCTCTTCTTTACTGCTACATCCACGTCCGTCATATCCGCCGATTTAATTTGCGTCCAATCCCTGAGTTGTATCCACTCCTAAACTCACCTGCTGCACTGTCATTTGGCTGGAGGAAACACACCAGCTCCACGTGCAGAAACGTCCCGAGTCAACCAGAACAAACCAGAACAGTAAAATCCAGTCAGAGGACAGGGTCTCTGCAGAGTAGCAGAGAGAATCACTCCCATGATTTCCCGCCAGCCTCAACGTCATCTTTGGTTGTTGCTTTGATTGAGAGCCCCCTGGAGGCGGAATCTATGTACTGTGCCTTTAAATAAAAAGTCATAGCAAAAGTGATCTCAAGACCCTTTTACAACAAAGAGCAGGTCTAGACTTTTTTGCTCGATTATAACAAGAGGCCCAACATGAATCAACCAAGAGCACAGTGACTCCACACTATGCTGATGACACCGTTGTTTATTTGTCATGTTATTGTTTTGTTGTTACATCTCTTAGCTGAGAATAGAGATGAAGATGTTTTTAATTAAACTGAATCAAAGAGCATCTAACATCGTTGGAGGCGACGAGGAATTAATAATCTGAAGGCTCATTTATTAACGAGACTGTGTGGGAATCAACACCTGATTCTGCTGTACATGTGCTGGGACTCTCCCTCCCCCCCTCTCTCTCTCTCTTGTCCATTTATACACACACATATACACACACACACACACACACACACACACACACACACACACACACACACGTTGTAGAGAAGGAGAAGACAAATAACAGAGGCCGGACACTTTGACCTCGCTGCCTGGCTGGAGAGTAATTTCACTTCTGCTGGAGATGGGAGAGGAATAAAGAGAGAGAGTGGGAGTAGGGGAGAGGGGGGGGAGTGTGCAGTGTAGAGAGAAGAGGGGGAACCAGAGAGGCATAGATCTGGGTGGTTTAGCTTATAAATGAACACTTCTGCTCAGTGATAAAACGATTGTCCTCTCCTGGTCCCTCAGTGTGTGTGTGTGTGTGTGTGTGTGTGTGTGTGTGTGTGTGTGTGTGTGTGTGTGTCTGTGTGTAAATGAGTCTGGTTGCTTGGGTGCAAACAGCTTCTCGTGTTTTGGTTTAGCGGTCTCTGGTTTATGTTTATTTATTTATTCATGTATTAAAGAGACTTGGTTTTTTTTCTTGTTGGGACCTGGTACTGATCCTAGCTAACAGGTCATCAAACTAGGACCTGGGTTAGGTCATAGTGAACCTTCTTCTGACCCTGGAGAGAAACTTAGATGTAGTCGTATCAGTCTGTAAGCGGTTTAAGGCAGACCTGCAGCAGTCTCACCTCGTATCTTCATTTGGAGGTCGTGTAATTCAGAGCCTGTGAATTTGTCTCGGAGGTGATGATACTGTCGACATTTTGTCACTCCTTGTTCAGAGATTACGTGTACAGCTGTTCGGAAAGCAAATGAAGGATCCTGCTTTATCTTTTATTGGATGTAAATGAGTCTAAATGAAAGCTGCGGGGTGTTGTGAGGATGAGGTTTCACTCTCTTTACCTGTTAGCAGAATGTAATATATGGAAATTATATTTTAGAACACTTTCCTCACGATTATAAAATATATTTCAGAGCAGAGTTATGAGCAACATATGGAGGATTTCATTCACCGATTGCAATTACATTCAAAGCGGCCTGTCTGCTGCTCCACTCTGCATGGAGAGGTGATTTATCTGCGCGCTTCTATTCATTTTGAATCAGAGCGGTGACGCCGGGCTCCCTCAGCTCTTTGACAACTGGTACAGCGGAGAGCCGGCAGAGAGCGGAGCAGCAGCAGCAGCTCCTCGAGGAGCGCGGGCACATGAATAATCACCCAGACGCTGCTAGATAGCTCTGCTCTCCTTGGGCCTTCCAGCAGATGCTATGCTAACAAATGGGAGCAGTCAAACCAGAGCTAATGGGAAAAAGTTTTTCAGCTTTAGCCCCCCCCTCAAAAAAAAACAAAAAACAACAACAACACAGCACAGGTCCCTCACATGAACACACACACACATACACTGCCACCAGGTGTGATTAAGGCAGTAAACATCAGACTCTAAAAATGTTCACCGTTCACCAGTTTACTAAGGCTGCAAACATGTCTGGATTATTTTGTTTTCCATAAACATCAACTCTTCCATCAAACGTAGGGTGAGGTAAGGAGCAGATCTTTTCCCGATCCCTCGATCTCAACCTTTACATCGGGTTCACGTTGAACATAAATATTAAAGCTTGACAAGAGACGTTCTAACGTTTGTATGCAGTCGTCTAATTTATGTTTCAGGAAGGTTTTACATTTCCAGTTGCTGCGGACACGATGTGATGCAAACCTCAGCGTCGTCGTGTTTTATTGAAGCTCCAGGATTTTTAGAAGTAGACATCATAACCGTGTGACCACCAATATATTGTCACTTATAATATGTTTGAACTAAATCCTGCACAAACTCATCATCTCCAGCGTCAGCTCGTGGAACATCTGGACACACAGTTTACGGAGGAATACCCCCGGCATGTAGCTGGACTCTGGCGGGGAAATGATCACCGCTGTTTGACTGCTACATCTGTCTCCTCTGCCAGCTCGCCAGCTCGGCCTCTCTGGCCGTTGACCAGCAACACTTTCGAGTTTCTCCTGTGTTTGTGAAGCAGCTGAAGCCGCCACACACCCGAAGACTCCTCCTCCCTCCTCCGTGTTCGGCCATGAAAAGATCCACAACTCAGCTCTTAACTGTTAAGAAATTACAGAAATGAGACAAATTACAGATATAAATTATACACAAGGTTTCCGTGGGTCATCAAATACTCGATTTGATTGGATTAGTCTGATTGATAGCCTCTCCCCCTCAGCTCTGAATGTGTTTTTGAATGCACTGGCAAAACCCAGTTCAGTCATTACCCCCATCTCCCTTATCAGCACAAGGGGAATAAACACAAATCTAATAGAAATTCATTACGCAGAGCCGTATCCACACGCTCTCACACACACACACATCCAACTAGTTTATTAGATTAATAGGCTATGAATGGCTAATACGAATTACCCCCCCTCTCTTGTTAACGAGACGCGGAGCAATTTGTATAATTATGTCTGTGGAAGGGAAGAATTCCTGTGTCTAAGCATATTTTTAGACAGCCGAGCTTTCTGAAGGCTTTTGATTACGTATTTACTTTGGGGTTTTCAGCTCCGTGCTCTTTCTCTCAGAAGTCGTTTTTGAATAATTCATCGCTTTGTTCCAGAGCGGAATAATTTGTGTTGAGATTTATGAGCAATTGCTTTTGGGGTGGGCTGATTTTTTTTTAACTCTTTTCTTTTTTTAAATGATCACAGAACGTGTTTTTGTCAGAGTCGAGTTGTCAGTGTGTCTCTTTTTCAAAACGGCGGTCGGAGTGGAGGCAGCGCTCTCGGAGAAGAGAGAGAGAGAGAGCGAGAGAGAGGACGGCCGATTTTAAACACGTCTTTTTTAAAGAGTTTGGTGCCAAAGTGACACACGCAACATCGAGGAAAACATGGTCTACGCTCCCGCTGTGTTTGACAGCACAAAACAAAACATTCTGTGCACTTTAAATGATAATAGAGCGCCGCACTTTTAAAAAAAAAACACACACGCTTGTAAATTTCTACTGAATGCTAGTCGCCAGTCGGACACCAGTTGGCTTTCTCATGAGGGGAAAAAGAAGGTTCAGGTTACTTTCTTTGTACCTTTGGGTACATTTGGTTGCAGGGAGAGTCACTTAATAAAACATACAAAGTGCAAATGCACGGTACATGCAAGAAAGTCATCAAGCTGAATGAGTAAATTAAGGCGGGAAGTAATGAGACAGATTGCTCCACAGCACGAGGACGATGACACTGCTTAGAGGAGGGGTCTCCAACCTTTCTTCATCTGAGAGCTACTTTGAAAAAATGAAAGTGGCCAAGAGCTACTTGCATCAAATGGCTTGCATTTATTTACATAGCACACATCAGCTGAATTAATCTACTGTATGCAATAAACCAATGCTTATCAATAATCTTAAATTCACATCAAGGTCCAAGAAAGAAACATGAATATTTTACACTTCTGATTGTGCCACATAGTAAGCTATGTTGCTGAAAATTCACATCAATGTACAAGAAAATATTACTACTTTACACTTCTTTTTATGGGCCAAATATATGACTAGTGGGAAGAGGTGCATTTACTGTCGTCAGATTAGTTTTTTGTTTTTAACACAGTCAGTCAACCTTTAAGCGAGCAATTTAGAACCTTTCCCCTGAGCTACTTGTTGGAGACCCCTGCCTTAGAGGATTCTTTCCAGCACTTACTGATAGAACAATTCAATCTAGTCCAAACACAACCGAATGCATCCTATCACAGAGTACAAGACTCGGGGTGTCTTGTGGGGTCGAGTCACAGTCGTGTATATTTGTTTCCAGCTTCTCACACAGTCCATACAATATCACATTTTATGTATTGTTTGCATTTAGCGATGAGCCTTAATCCACATTGTATTGATGGATAAATCTCTCTTTTCTTTGCCGCACAAGTGACTCAGTTTATTCAGCATTTCACAAAGAAGATGTAGAAAGAGAGAGGGGAGCGGTTTGACATGCAGCAGGATTAAAACCTCACACGTCCCTGGGTTCATGGTTTGTGCTTTAGCAGCTGAGCCGGCGGGATTCCTCTTCATCCTTCCTGAACAATTTCAAACATGTTTTTTTTGTTTCTCACTCTGTCTATCTGTCCCCTCTGCAGGTTCATGGGAACTTTCTGGAACCGGGTCTCGTCGATCTCCGTCAGATCAGCCCAGGTCCAGTGGGTCCAGTGGCGCCTGCGCCGGAGGACTCCTGGGAATGGGACGACACCGATATGACAATCACAGAATCAGAGGCACACGGAGAGGAAGAACCCGACCTGACGCAGAACCTCCCCACAGAAGAACATCTGCCTTCAAACAGCAGGATGTCCAACAGGGTTCAGCCGGACAGGGACCAGTATCCTGAGACGACGTCCAGTACAAGAGGTGGATTTTCAGTAGAGGTCCAGCCCAATGTGACGTCACAAACTCTTCCTCCTAACAATAATAACATCTACCAAGTGTACAGCCTCCATAATGTGGAATTATACACACAGCCGCTGTTTCCGCACAGTTCCTCTTCACTCTACAAAACCAAATCAGGGAAACGGAAACAGCATCTCCTGCTGAAGAGTCTGAGTAAGGACTCCTCTTTCTCCTCCATCGAGTCCCTCCCAGACCTCCTGGGAGGTTTGATGTCAGATACTCAAGGAGGGGACAGAATCAGATACCGGGACGGGGAGAATGAGCGAGAGGGGGGCAGAGGAAGTGGTCAGTCAGTGAGCAGTCGAAGGTCAGAGAGCGAGAGCGGGATTGTTAGTGACACAGGAGACATTGAGACAACATCAACTAACTCTGAAATCCAGGGCGAGGAGGAGGATCAGGAAGAGGAGGAAAAGGAGCAGAGAAAGAAAAAGACTGTTGGTGAGAATGATTTGGGTTTGCACAAACACAGTGTTCCCGGGTACAGCCAGAGAACTAAGACGAGGTATTACATGAAGGAGAATGAATGGAAGAAGGATGAATTGAAAGGTGAAAGCAGGAGAAACAGAGATGAGGAGAAAAGGAGGAGGCCCATGAGGGGCGGAGGGGAGGCAGTAGAGATCCTAATCAATGGGCGTGTAATCCTGACTCCCGCTGACTCTGACTCTGATTTTGAAGTAGGAGGACTGGAAGTAGACCCCTCAAAGACCTCTATGTCTCACAGTCAAATCACAGAATTCAACTTTGACAAGTTTAACCGTTTGGACTCTCCTCCTGCTCTTAGCCAGCGGGCTTCCAGTCCAGTATTGTCTCAGGGATCCTCTCTTGAGTCCCTTCTAGCGCTGGGCGTTGAGTTATTTCCCTCTAAAGATCCATTACATCGCAGCGCATCTCTGGAGAGCTGCCTGGCCGTGTGTCGTAGCAATGAAGGGGAGTCTGGAGGTAGCCTGGCAAGCCTCGCGGAGCTGGACCTGTTACAGAGCAGAGACGTGGATCAAGGTGAACCAGAAAGGGAGAGAAACAATGAAAGTCCACGAGGAGAAACTTCCTCTGGAGAGCTGAGCCGGAGAACTCTGGACCTCCTGAAACGCCTGGAGAACATTCAGAGTCCACTTGCCACCAAGATGACACGCAGTGTTTCTGACATGACGCTCCGATGCAGCTCCCCACAGCGGAGCAGACTCCCCGCCTCGCCGTCTCTCGGTGGTCAGCACGCCCCCCTTTCTGGAATATCCGGTTGCTCGCAGAAAGGACCACCATCCCTGATCAACGAGAGTTCAGCAACGGCATCTCTGACAGAGCTGAGTAGCACCGAGGACTCGTCTGTGGGCTCTGAAGATTTTGCTTTACTTGGAAATCAACGCAACCCCTTCCTAGCTCCCGCCGCGATGGCCAATGCAAACTCAAAGTCTCCCCGGAAACACGGCCAAGGAAACAGCCATGGGGGGCAGGGGATGGATGAAGCAGATGCAGCGAGTTTGAGCCTGGTGGTGAACGTGTCTTGCACCTCAGCATGCACAGACGAAGACGAGGACGACTGTGACCTCCTGTCCTCATCCACACTGACGCTCACTGAGGAGGAACTGGGTGTCAGGGACGGAGAGGACGAAGAGGAGGACAGGTTGAGCTGTGCCTCCTCTGGGGACGAGGACGTGGATGATGAAGAGGAGATGGAGGGGTCTTACATTCTGGGGCTCGAGTATATGAAGAGAGAGCTTCAGAGTTGGATGAGATCTCCTAAAAACTCCCCTTCCTCCTTCTCTAAGACGGAGGCAGGCCTGTGGGATGAGCTGCAGTGTGGAACTAACCCATCTTCCTCCTTCACGTCCACCTCTCAGAACAACGAGCCGCACAGTTTTCAAAGTCGCTCGGTCTCAAAGTCAGTAGAAAACAACAGCGGCTCAAGCGGCAACAAAAAAGCAAACAGAGTGAAGGTAGAAAAGGAAGAAGAAGAAAATCGGAGAAACGCAACAAGAAGCTACATCAGCCAGTTTGTGGACGACGTGGAGAACGGAAATGTGGACCAGAGCTGTTTGAAAGGGAAAGACGAGGACGATGAGCTCCTCCGAGAAGAGTCGAGCGTGTTCACAAAGAAAGGAGAGTTTCTGAGAGAGTCGTACCTGTCCGCTAAAACGGGAGAGTCAGTCCAGGATGTCAATGAGTTGATCGCAAACATCGACTCAAATTTAACACAGCAGCTTCCTTCGTCGCCATCCATCGAGCTCCTCCCCTTCCAATCCAAACGGACTTCCTGTTTAGTGGGACAGCTGAGAGGGGAGCTGCCCTGCCACAGCTCCTCTGTCCCCTCGCCCCCCTCCCTCTCCCCCCTGGAGGACTGCAGACCCCACGATGACTTGCACTGCAGCAGGCAGGCGGCTGCTGGACGGAAGGCCATCACCATCCAGGAAAAATTCAAGTTCTCGTCTTTAGTTACAGAGCAGACGAGGCAGGGGGTCAGAGACAAAAAATCGTCCCTGCCTCCTAAAAAACGACACAGCGCTCACTCCTCCTGCTGCAACCAACCCCCCTCCCCCTCCAACATCAGACAGCGCAGTGCAGAGGAGGGCAAGACGGAGAACGTGCATGACTTTGTGCGGGACATAATCGACATGACCTCACTGGCGCTGAAGAGCAAAGGGAATCAGAATGAAGACCAGAACCATGACCAAACCAGCAGGTCCATCCCAGACCATGCTCCTGCATCACTAGCACAGATCAGAGACAAGGTACAGAAACACAGCTCAATCTCCAACTACTAAAATATAAATAAAACAATCAGCCTGTTGAGGATTTAGTCTCAAAAAAAGACGTGCAAATTAAACTACTGCCCCATGCAAAGCCCCTTTAAAACAAGAAAATCAGGCTCACATTTGGCTGCAGATAAAGTATGCATCGTATTCTTAAATATTTTTGGAGACGCTAATCTGAAGTCCTCTGTGACCTCGTATCTTCTGTACATTTTAGAGGACAAATGTACGGAAAAAAATATCAGCTAATTTGTTCACTGAGTTGGAGTAATTGAATAAATCGCATCAAAGATCACAACTTTTAGGATGTCGTTTCTTCACTATCCTTTGCGAGTGAAGTAATCTAAAAGCTAATGAGTTTCATGTCTCAAAAAAGAAAAAAGAAATCAGGCAGAAAAATGTTTTTAAAAGTGGAAAATATTAATTCAGAAGCATTCAGTGTTTTAATGAAGAAAAAGTTGATTTGAGATGGAGTCACAATTTGGTATCACAAGTTCTGCTTAAAGGAAGAATGGGCGACTTTTTGATCCAGTAGGTGTCGCCCTTGATCTCCAGCATGAAACCAAACAAACTTTTGTTTGGCCACTCCTCCTCCATACTGAAGCCTACGCTCTCCTCCAGAGACACACCTCCAACCCCTCTTCACTTCCAGTAATGAAATTGGAAAGCACAATAATCAGACAAAATCGTCCTTCTCTCGAGCTGCATTGTTGTTAGCTTGCTAATGTTAGCACTCTTTAGTTAGCTCATAGCTTCACATTGCATGTAAATTGACACAAAATTATCTAAAAACTCTTACTTGACATCAAAACAATCAGTGAGTATGTTCTTCTTCTTCTCTCTAGTTCTTGACTAAAACAGCTTTTATACACAAGGGGAGGAGCCGGCCGTCTCGTCCATGTAAACACGACTCTGACAACAACACAGCCAGCGGGACTCGAGCTTCTCACTCATTGTAGACAGTCATGACTCAGAGACACATTTACACAGGATAGACATGATGTCTGATATATTCATGTGGAACAAGTCGCACATTCTGCCTTTAAAAACACTTAAGGTGTATAACATCTGAATGTAAATAACAGATCTCCAAAATAAAAGACCAAGCTCCAGTGCTAAAATAAATTAATGTTGCCGCGTAAGTCGAAATGCCGTGCAACATTTATGAAATTTGAAACGTGGTGCAGAAGTCACGCAGTCAAAAGTGATCATAAATAAACTGTATAATCGTTCTAAAGCTTCTTCAGTGGGTTTTATAAACTCATTTTTCTGTTGACCAACAAACCATGAAGGTCACACATTTGCCTGAGGGGGTTTAAAAATAGTTCAATTCATTCAACAAAAAGCCAAACTTTACAAACTTCCTCCCTCCTCTCCCTGCAGGTCATCGAGCACTCCCACCGGCCCCTCCACCTGCGGAAAGGAGACTTCTACTCCTACCTGTCTCTCTCCTCCCATGACAGCGACTGTGGCGAGGTCAGTCAGTGCTCCGAGGACAAAAGCTCCTCGCCACTGCCTTACAGCATCCCCACTTACATCAGCCCGACTCAAGGCCTCCACAGCCCGAGCCCCGAGCTGTTTACGAGCACCAACCAGCACGTAACAGCCCCGTCCTCCAAACACTCCCTCCTCTCCAACAACAACTTCTGTGCGCTTGATTTGAAGTCTTCCGAGTGCCAAACTAACACGGCTGCTAACGGTAGCCACACTCAAGAGTCCACTAGCCCCAATCCGTCCCTGCCCACCAGCCCTGACATCCGGGATGAGGAGATGCTGTTTGCAGCGTGTACGGAGGAGGTTTACCTGGGTCCTCCTCTCTGCTACAGCATGGTGCTCACCAAGCAACCACGACAGACCCCTGGCTATGAACTCAACAGCCTAGCTTACTTGCCTTGTTCACAATCAAATGATAGACTTCAAAATGAATCTCAAGAGGACACTAGTATCAGACCAGGTGATAGTCTGAGCTATCTGTCTCCCTCAAAGGAGTCTGTGATGGATAGAAACCAGGATCACCTGTATTTCCAGGCATCCAGCCGCACAGAGAAAGAACAGAGCTCCGTCTCGCCTATCTTTGAGCCTTCTTTCAGCTCATCCTCCTCCTCCCCGCCCTCAAACGGCGTCCGCGCCTCCCTCCAGAGGCCTGGCTGCAAACCAGAAGATGACGTCCCTCCCGCTCCTCCTCTCCAGTCCTCTGGCGCTCAGGAAGAGAAGCGAGGTGAGGACCCGTACCTCCTCTGTGATGTCGCTGGAGGAGAAGTCGCGGCCGCTGTGAGTGTCAGCGCGCCGCAGGAGGAGAGGAGTCGTAATGAGGGGCCTCCTTATCTTAATCCCCGGGCGCGTGTCGCCCCGATAGACTCCTCCGCAGCTGAATGTTTGGCAGATACTAAAACGCTTGAATCCAATATGGGCGCCGTAATGACCAAGATAAGTGTCTGCAGCTCTGCTACAAATCCCTCAAAAGAGTCAGCCGCCACCGCCACGCGTATTAATCCCAAAATTAACTGCTCGGCGATGAGAGAGGCAGATAGGGAGGAGGGGGAGAGGAGAGGAGAGGGGGATGCTCAGAGGGTGAAGCAGGAGGAGAAAGGGAGGAGACGACGGAGCGGCTCGCAGCAGGAAGCAAAGACAGCGGTGCCGAAGCAGGTTAGTGTTCCACGTATTAGCCTGATCTGCTATCTCAGGACATTATACGGGGCCTTGATACCGCACTTCACCTCTCTACTCCAGGTATTAGACCGAGCCGAGCCCCTCACTGGGTGTGAATGTAATGAGGCCGGTGTGCATTCCTCTCATTTCCATTTCTGAGGCCAGACGCACGTTAGAGGTGTTGATATGTGTAGTCTCCCCCTCTCCTCCTCCCTCGTCTCTTCCTCCTCCTTACCCTCTATCTCTTCATTTTCATCCTCTCGTCTTTCGTACACTTCCCCTTTATCGTCTCACCTTCATTGTCCTCCTATAAACTTTCCTCTCCCTCTTTCCCTACTTCTTCTCAGAATTGTGTTTCACATCTTCTCCACCTTTTCTTGATCACCTCCTCCACATCTTTCCTCCTCTCTCCCTGCCCTCTTCTACTTGTCTTTCTGAAGTGTTCACCTCCTCCCGTCCTCTTATCTGACTCCTCTCCTGCTAGTATCTTTTCCTGCCTTTGCATTTTTACTTCCTTTTCCACTTTCCCTCCCCCTTCGATCCTCTCTTCTTCCTCCTCCCTCCCTCCCTCCCTCCTCCCTCCCTCTCCTCCCTCAGGTGTTAATGCAAGGAGGGATTTGCAGACTTCTCAGTTTTTTAGTTAAAAGGTTAAGGTCCACAGAACAACATCAGCATAATTACTATCAGTCAGATTTCATTAGGATTCATCAGCTAAGAGCTTTTCCCCGTCCCGCAGTGATCGTTCAATTCATTTCATCGCTGAATTAGCGTGTTTGTGCTCTTTTTTTAAGTTTCCTATTTCCTTATGCAAATGACTTTGGCTCTTTTTTTTTCTTACCATCTCTGCAACCTTGCTGCCTCCTCTGTTTATCAACTTTCCCTCTCCTTAAGAGGAACGCGGCTCGGCTGAAGAGCTTGTTTCATTTCTGATCTCGAGCACAGACGCCTGTACTCGTTTCTCACGCGCTGCATGTTAATGTGGGACAAATCATTTGTACAATTTGAAATGCAATAAATAAGAGTTTTACTGCACCGTAAAACACAATCACATCAATTTATCTGCAGCTTTTTTTTATCAAAATAATTATTCCTGCTTTCCAAACTATCTAATGGGTTGTGCAACAGTTTCCCCAAGGTCATGAACACAGGCTGAGAGTCTCAGCGAGAGGCTAACGGCCATAAAGTGCAGCGCTGATGAACAGTTTGATGAGTAACGGGCTGGACGATGATTTGAACGAGGGATGCTCCCTGTGAATATGCAAAAAAAAACAATGAATGCAGCTCTATTCCTAAACTATTGCTGTTGTTCTTCATCCTTAATAATGCTCAGTGACTGATCACTTTAAAGGTCACATATTCTCTTCCTCTTCTTCAGTGTAAATAAGTCTCAGAGCTCCTCAAAACATGTCTGTGAAGTTTCTTGTTCTAAATCCACTCTGATCCTGTATTTGATCATGCCTATACACCCCTCTATTTCAGCCCTGCTCAGAACAGGCTGTTTCTGTGTCTGTACCTTTAAATGTAAATGAGCTGTGTCTGACCACGCCCCCTCTCTGGAAGGGCTTGGGTGTCTCAGGCTTTCTCGCTCCATGTCCTATTGTTTACGGTGAGAAGGCAGACTCAGAGGACAGAACAAACACCTAGCTGTGGGAGTGTCACCCACCTGGGGGAGGGGTTACTGCCCTTTCTGATGTCATGAAGGGAAAACCTCCAAACGGCCTGTTTGAGCACACATTTTCTGAAAAGTGGAGCAGGCAAAAGACAGAGAGGATGAGCACTTTCCTCATCATTGGGGGTTTTGTAGACAGACCAGAGACACATATTAGAGTTAGAACAACATGGGGAAGTGGATTTTATATG